ATCTCCAAGGAGTGTAAAAAAAAAAAAAAAAAAAAAAAAAAAAAAATCTCCAAGGAACAGTCCCCCATAAAGTTCTAGGCACTAAGAGTCCACTTGTGTGCTGGTCACCCACCGCTGAAAATGCGCACCACATTGATACAAACGTTGAAGCCCATGATACCGCAGCCTTAGGGCAGCGAATGTAGAGAGTTCGATGCCATGCAGCAGAGTTACATTACATTTAAGGGGTAATTCTGAAATAAGCAACGAGAAAGAATAGATCCACGAACAGCACCATGCATGTGCCAAATCATTTTTTCCTTATAGGCACGTAGGCAGCGCGCATGTGCATAATGGTAAGTCCCGCAAGTCTCACACATATATGGACGTGAAAAATTGGAATACTTTCAGCGAGAAGATTTTGAAGTCCACTCCCTCTTCTCCCCGTCACGTATCCTCCTCTTTTCAGAATCCTCCTTCACCTGCCTTTTCCCTTTTAACTACTTTGCTCTCACTGCTCATGACTGTGTCTTCTACTCTCCGTCACCCTGCTTCCCTTGCTTTCTAAGGTATATTCAATATGAATCTGCTTCATGTGATCTCGACGATACTGAGCTTCTTGATCTGGAGTCGAGCATCATCGAGATTACATGCAGCAAATTCATATTGAATATATACCTTATTAATTAAATCAAGCAGGGTGGTGGAGAGTAGAAGATACATGTGCACTGTGCAGTGAGAACGAAGTGAATAAAAAGGACTAGGAAAGAAGAGGGGAAGGAGAATTCTGAGAGAAGGAAGACATGAGAGGGGGAGAAGAGGTGGAGAAGAGGGAGAGTTAGGACTGTGAAAGGAAAGGAGAGTACAACAAAGGAAGATAATAGGTAGATGGAGAAGTGAGGTGGAAAACAACACTCAACGCAGCGAAGCACTCGTGATCTCCCAAGCGGACAATTGGGGTCCTTAGAATATTTAATACAACACAATCTTTGACTATAGGACACAATCAGGGCAGATGAATGTGGGATAGGGATAAAATTGAGTACTTTGCAAGTTGACGGTATTTTTCTTCCACACGGATAAACAGTGATTTCCTCTGCGTTGAAATATCTTTCCCTGATGTTAGTGAATATCATCTGAAAGGGTGGATGGGGTGGGTGAAAGTTTAATCAATGAGTGTGGGTGAAAGTTTAATGAATGGGGTGGGTGGGGGTTCATATATAGGGTGTGTAAGGAAGACACAAATTTGAATATGGGATGGGGATGGTGAGAGTTGTACTGGGTCCTTGAGGAAGATGATAGAGGGCAGGTGAGGATAGTGAGTGTTTCAATGTAGGTTCAGTTTGTTGGAAAGGAAAAGAATTACAATTCAACTGTCGTCGATCTTAAAGCACCAGTACATGTCATACATCGGCAGCGGGCCCCTTCCCGAGGCGACCCGCCATCGATGAATTTTATCAAAGGCGCGTGAGGCTGTGAGCCTCCAAAATTTTAGGAGAGGTTCAATCGGATTCTCAACTTGGTTGGGCCTACTTACTACTGCTTTAAACAAGGAAAATGTCATGAGCTCTTGTGGTTCGAGTTCGGAGTCTTCGAACCAGGCCCCACCGGAGGCAGATTTATTTGCCATTGAAAAGCATAAACTTGGTCATTATAATGACCAAGGTAATGCTTGCTTAGCATGAACATAACATCCACCAGTGAGTCCCGACCTAGGTAATGCTTGCTTAGCACGAACATAACATCCACCAGTGAGTCCCGACCTTCACAAGCTGGAGAGGCCGCTTTCCATGGCAGGAAATGTCCAAATTAATGTCATTGGGTAATTAGATAAGTCGGTTATAAAAAAACTAGAAAAGAAAAAGATTAGGTGGTGTAACATTGGTAAGTAAAACACCCGTCCCCCCAAATCGAATCTTTACGACACAAACAACCCATTTGCAGAGTCAGTTGGCATGATCCGTGAGTAGTAGCACTATCGTTTTCCCACAAATTGAATATACAGTCATTGTTGTGTAAAAAGAGAAAAAAAAATTGTACTCGTTACAAAGTGGGGTAAATTTCAGTTTAGATGCAGCGATAATCAATGTATATTCTATTCGAGGAAAAACGGTAGGTAGGATCCCCGAGGGTTGATCAATAATAACAAGTATTTTTAAGTCGAAGAACGATACTGTCAATCGACAGAGGTTTTGTAGTTGAGAATGAGGTTTGATAAGTCATGCACATGAGATGACAGGAAAAAAACGGTGTTGGATTGAGTTGCCAAGGTGGGGGGATGTGAAGGATGGGGATTGCCTACGTGAGGTGATGGTTGAGGCAACCATCGACATGACATGTCTTTCTCTCTGGTGAATGGTACTATGGTGACACAAGTTTTGAATGAATAGACTAAGTATGTAAGGTAAGAAATCAATGAAAATGATTGCTTAGGGTTTAGAACTGAGGGTTCAACTTGTTGAAGAGATCACTAGATTTTGTTCAAGCAAACTGAAGGAGCGGATGTGCTTTTGTAAATAAATTTTCGAGATTTCCGATCAACAATTTTTTTTAGGTATCAACTCCAAATTTTTGTTATCTTATAAGCAAAGCAAAAAAAACATAAAAATGATTCAAGAGCGAAATTGTATGAAAAACAGATCCTGAAAAGCACAACCACTCAAACAAATTGAATTAGCTTTTCTGTTCAAAAATGTGTTTGCTGGATGAAATTTTACACGTTGTTGCACCCTTATGAAGAATCGAATATGAGCGAAATTGTTCCTCTTGGAGTGTCCTAGTACGCTGGTACTTTGAGTATTTGAGTACTTGAGCATTTGACTACTTGTATATTTGACATTGACTACTGACAATTAACTTTATGCAAGTCCAACAACTTGTCAAGGTAGTTTGTTAAAGTAGTGATTTGTTTTCCTGTCCTGGTTGTCATTGACTTTACTCCTTATTTATGTCATTCATTTCAGTGGCCGCTTTGGATGTAAACAAGTCATTCAACAAAGCTCATATGGTGTATGCACTTGAAATTTTGTCCTAAAGGTAATAAGTGATTGAAAAACATGAGTTCATTGTGAAATACGTTATGCATATCGCACACAAGGTTCCCTCTCTCACACACACTATGGCTCTGATATATTATTTTTTTTTGCACCTTTTCAAGTTGTTGGTCTTATCAAGGCTTACTCAAAGGTTGTCATGCGGGGATCCTTGGGAGCCAAGCCGGGGTGGGGGTTTGACCCCCAGATCCCCAACGTGGGGATCCCTGATCCCCGCCCTCGCACCTTCATCCCTGTCCCTTCACCCCTGCCCCTACCCCTGCCCCAACCACTACACCCCCGTCCCCGCCCCTGCTCCTATAACCCCACCCTCACCCCCGCACCCCCCGCCGTCGCCACCATCAGTCATCATTTTTGTGTTTCCTTTTTTTTTTTTCAATTTTATTGCACTTCCCGACTTTTGAATGTTATCCTTTGGCAAAGGTCATACTTATCTTTTTTATGCAGGTGTTCCAAAAGACAATTATGTTCCTGTGATCAACATAAAAAAATATTTTATAATAAAATAATTTAATAAAATTATAAGATTAAAATAATCATACGATCTTAAAAATTGTCATTCCACTTTAAAATTTTTCCGTTGTACTTGAAAACTTTCATTCGAAGAGTGTGGTTTCTGTTCTCATTTGATTTACACGCTAGAGATGGAATGAAAGTCTGGATAAGTTTATGAAATATTCTAATTAGATTACCATTCTATGATAAAGTTCAAGTCATAATGCGTTAATCCAATCTTTAACTAGAAGATATATATTGTAGCAGAATGAAAGACTAATTTACACATTTCATAAACTCGTTCAGAATTTCATTGCATCTTCAACAAATACAATTGAATATATGCTGTCTCTTATACACATCTAGATGTGTATAAGAGACAGGAGAGAGAGAGAGAGCGGGGCGGGCTCCATAGCG